CCCCGGACGAGACGCCTCGGCTCTCTCCTCCCAGGGCGCCGCTTCGCGCCACTCGCCGTGACGGCGCGCGCGCGCGCTCCTCGGCGAGCTAGGCGAATGGCGCCGCCGATCGTGACGGCGCGCGACGTCGCGGCGGCCGCCGGCGAGCTCCGGGGGCGCGCGCCAGCACTCGTACGAGAGGTGGCGACGTATGCGGGCGCGCCGCCGTGGACTGGCCAGTAGTTGATGGAGGTCAACGTGCCCGGCGGCGCGAAGCCATGGAAGCGGTGGTCCACGACGTCGGTCGAGTCGCGCGGTCCATGTCTGCGAGCAGATCGAAGGGTCTGACGCAGTAGAGCATGACCGTGTAGGGCATGCTTGAGGGCCAGGACAAGTTTGCGCCGACGACAGAGCGCAGAGCCGGCGGAGTCGGCGGAGTCGATTCGATCGAGCGATCAAGCGACGTCTTGCCAGCGATAGCCGCGACGCTGGCGCTGAGGCGGCACGGTCCGAAGTAGGTCACTCCCGCGGACCACGCCGACGCGCCGCCGGTGCTCTGAGACCCATTTTGGCGTCGGGAGAGCGAATCGCGCGTGTATCGCGACGAAAGCAAGTGGTATCCGAGCGCGAGGTGCGTGGAATTGTGACTGCTTTTCGTCAGGGAGGTCGTCTAGGATGTCCTTGGTGATCTGAGCGCATGAGCGCAGTATGTGGTGTTCTATTCATGGCGGTACGGAGCGAATCCAAAAAATTATGAGCGCCATCGGCTCGAGTGCCGCGCAAAACACGCCCCCCGGAGTCGGCATCGTGCTCACCGGGGCTAAAAAGTGTCTGGTTGCGTCGCTTGGACCTCTGGGAGGGCTGGGGGGACAAAAAAAACGAGTAGTCTCAGAGCCGGGAATCGAACCCGGGGATAGTCGATGGCAACGACTAATGTTCGAGAGGATAGGACTCCGGTGGAGTCGTACCTACCACTACATCACTCTGAGGCGGAGGCCCTAGGAAATCGATGTCAAATTTGTAAGTTGAACTTTTTTTTGGTCATCGATTCTTGGGCCAAAATGAACCCACGACCTGCTAGAGCAGACCATTGGACCCACTTGTTGTTGCAAAAAAAGGGCTTGCACGCCTTCTGAACCCCGCTTCGGTTTGATTTTTTCTGAGACCTTTTCGGACTTTCTATAGACGTGTAAAAAATAACTTCGTCAAATAGCGCGCACACGCGTGGTTTCCGACCACCCGCGCCAAAAATGCACCAGAAACACGAATGGCGCGATCGCCCACGCAGCTCGATCGGCCCGCCGAGGTCGCCGCGGCGCGTGTTCCTCAGGCTGTCGTTCTTCCAGCTCGGGTTCTTCGGGTTCGCGTCGCGCGTGTCGTCTAGAGGCGGCCAGACGTAGCCGCGCGTATTGTCCGGGGGCTCCGGGCCCGCGGCGGGACCCGCCAGGCCGGGCTCGGTGACGACGCGGAGCGTCCGCGGCCGCCGCCGGGTCGAGCTTCTCCTCGGCAGAGCGTCTGCGCGGCCGCCGGCGCGGAGTCGCTCGGGCCGAGCCCCCAGCCGCGCGTCGAGGCCATGGGGTTCTTCGCCAGCTCCGGCTCCAATCTTCCCGCCCTGCAGGACGGCGGAGCCTCCGTCGTCGCCGTCCCCGAGCCTGAGAACGACGAGCGCAACTTGAAAGCGGGGGCCCTGGCACACGGCATGCCGGGCGTCCACAACTACGGCGACGTCCACGACAGCGACATCGAGCGCCATGCCTGGAACCCGCGCAGCGTGTCCGCGATCGTCGCCGCGTGCAATGCAAACGGCGCGTGCAAATCCGGTCACCAGTGGCCGCCGGGCCCGGCACGTTCGGATGATTCACGGCACACACGGCCGGGCACGCGGGCCGGGCACGCGGGCCGGCACGCCGGCACGCCGCCCCGAGCGCGCGCCGGCACACGCCTGGGCACACGACAGGGATCCAAAAGCACCCCGGCCAACAAACTCAAAAGCTCGAGGAGCATATGCGCATGATGGCCTGACCGCGAGAGCTTGAAAAGGCCACAACAAAGTAAAAGATGTCACAGTCTCCTAGACGCTCCCCGAGACGGTCCCCGAGACGTTCCCCCGCGAGCAGTCCGGGGCTCCCGCCGCCCGAATCGCCGAGCAGTCCGGGCCTGCCGCCGCCTGAATCGCCGCCGCACGAACCAGTGTCCGCGGCGGCGCGCGGCGCGCGCGCGCACAGAAACAACGCGCAACGCCGAGAGAGTTCACACACGACACACCGCGCCCGCAGGCCGAAGGCGCCGTCGTCGACGCCGCGGGGCACGCCCGTGAGCTCGCTGCGCGGCGCCATGTCGAGCGCGGAGCGCGAGTTCAGCAACGTGCCGCCGACGCCGGGCAGCCTGCCGCCGACGCCGCTCGGCGTCGGCGACACGCCGAGCGTCGGCCGGCGGCCGCGGCCCGCGGCGCTCCCGCGCGGCGGCCTCGGCCTGAGCCAGGGCGGCGTCGCGGCGTCGTCCGCGCGGCACGTGCGCGTCGCGGCGACGCCGGAGCGCGACCTGCCGACGACGCCCGCGGCGCCCGCGGACGACGCGGCCGCGGCCGACGGCGACGACGGCGCGCCCGCGCTCGCGACGATCTGGGGCACGACGGTCGCCGCCCGCGTCCGGCACGCGCCTCGGCGCGCCGAGGAGAGCCGGGGCGCCTCGGCGCGTCGCGGCGCGCCGAGGCGTCGAGGAGAGCTGGGGCGTCCGAGGCGTCGAGGAGAGCCGCGAGCGTCTCGTCCGGGGGA